TTGGCTGTTGTGTTTTTCGTTCACTGTCTCCCTCTTGAAATCTCTTTGCGCGGCCTTTGGAATAAGGGTTTTTTTGGAGGTCCGCATCTTTTCGACCCACGAGAACGGTTTGTTGCAGATGAGTAGGAGAAACTGTTTCAAGGGGTCTACTTTTATGGGCAGCGGGGATCCCCAATAGTGAGTGGGCGCCCTTTTCTTCTCTCTTTGGCGGCTTTGGAGTTCGAGCAGGTAGACTATTTCTGTAATTCAAAGCCGCTCCGCAAAGCTCGATCTTTAGGGGAAGCTGCACAAGCGTTTGCTTTGTTGAAATCTTGAGCTAGAGAGAAAACAGGCAGCCGCAAACAACGTTGCAGGGGTTTGTTTTCAACCGAGCCCTTCATCCTTTTGAGCGCAAATCCACAATTTTCCCTTGGCAGCCTGGTTACTTTTTAACCAGGCCTTTCAGATGTGGGTTGCTCCCTTTCAACAATAGGGAACAAGAACCCTTGCTGATCTTTTGCAAATCACCTAAGGATCTATCGGTAGATCTCGATCTGCCCTCTGTGGGTTCCTGTTGTAAAAGAATGTGGGCAGTGACCATTGGAAGCTGCCCAGGGGTATAGGGTGCGGGGGGTGACGAGGTCGGAAAAAGAGCTTAGTGGGGCTCAGAAGCTGGGGTATGACCCACAAGGGGTTGGAATAGACCTTTGCTTGGATGAGCCCCGCCCCCCCCCGTAAGATACTGACCAAGGCAGAAAGGAATGGGAAAATATTCTCAATGAACGCCCCTTCCCTTTGTGTGTTGCAAGTCCAAACAAGAGAGGGCCTTATCATCACGGCCTCCTTTGCAAACATAATAAAAGCTATGGGGACGTGACACACAGCTATTTACTGCTTGGGATCGATGGTGAGCTGAGCCTGTGGCCAAAATTCTCCGGCGGGCCAGAGCATTTCCTGGGTAAGCCTGTGGAACTGGTGGCGTGGAGACCTCCATCAGCGTTGCATCTGCCTCTGGAATTCGGTTCTCCGAGAGCAGAAAGGCTTGGTTGCAGATGTTTATGTGGCTAATCTAGGTCTGCGCTGCAGATGGGGTCCCAGCTGCTGGGCACCGTGGCTTGGTGGCCAGCTCCCATTACTAGGGGATGGGCCCTTCTCCAGCCAGTGCAAAGAGCAAATTCCAACTCGCCACTCCGGAGTTGCGAAAAGCCCCGGAACGGCCTTGGAGTGAGTCAAACTGCAGAAACAGCTGGCTGAGGGAAGATGGGGAGTGGGTCCGACAGGATGCAGAAGGGGGAAACTCCAGATCGGAAATTAGTCAGTTGACACAGATACCAATTGATGTAGCAGCAGCAGGATTTCAGAGGGACCTTGAATTTGCGATGGACCTTTTGGGCTCCGAGTGGCCCCACCAGGTCCTCAGTCCAAGCTGGGTGTGTCTTTCCACGTTTGGCTCGAAGACTAAAAGCTGTGGAATGCTGTGAGCGGAGTTTTCGGTCTTCCTCCTGGCTGTCGGGCAGAAGGTCACTTTTAAGTATTCCGCTGGGCTGCCCAGCAAATCCTTCTTTGGACCCTGTTCAGAGACAGCCACCTGGTCGTTAGCAGAGCGGTTAGTTCTGTGGTCTTCCTAATCTGGTGGTTGATATGGACCCCCGGCCTTGTTCTCGCATCGTGTGTCATCAAGGTGGCCTTGAGGCAGCCAAAGGAGAAGCCTTTGTGAAACTCACCTGCCACCTTCTCCCTTGTGTTCCTCACTAGCCAAGCCCCATTAGCTCTGCTGGCTTTTGCAAGGAGGCATCTGTGGAGGCTCGTAACGTTACCCTAGCCCACCCTCCCAGGATGCAGAGCCAGGCAATGTGCAGGATCTCGGACAACCATATGCTTGTTCCACGGAGAGTAATTCAACCCTATTTCATTCTGGAGGGGTAGAGGCTGGCTGCCCTCTCATTTTAGCCATCCCGTTCTCCCCTGACTCTTTGCACCAGGGCAATATCAGATCCTCATTTCTCCTTGTTCTTTGGTGTCCCAGTGTGCCTTGGTTTCGGTGCCCCCCCCCCCCGATCAGGGAAGGGGCACCCAGACAGTTGGCCGCATGCTCAGATGACAGCGTCCGGCTCCGCGTCATCAGCCAAGCGGAACTCAGGCCACCTGTGATGAGTGGCGGGTGCCAGAAGCCCTCGGTTTTGTTCTTCCACGGGGAACTCTCTCGAGCATGAAAGGATTTGTACCCCCGTGAACTTCCCCAGATCCCTGGCAGCTCCTGGGATGAGGTGCCAGCCGTAGGATCGCCCCTCTGCCTTCTCCAAGCCGTGTTGAGAAGAATCAGACCAGGCCACCCTTCCTTCCTGCCTCCGCCACTTTCGTAAGGCTCCCGTGAAAGTCCAGATCACTGCCCACAGGATGTGTGGCCTGAGGGAGGCCCAGCGCAACGCTGCTGCCCTTTCTAGTTGCGCCACTCGTCCTGCAGAGCGGAGGTTCGTCCGGCACGTCAGCAGAGGTGCTGGGCTGCGGCGGCCTTTCCTGGAACTTGGCCCATGGTGGGTGTTTCAGAAGAGCCGCGGGGCAACCTGGAGGCGAGAGGGACGCGCCGAAGCAGCCCTTGGCAGCTCCCCCAGCCTCTCCGGAACAAACCTGAGCTTGCTTGGATCCCAGTTTTCAAAGGCAGGGGCAAGGCCTGCTCTGGAGCTTCCTCCATGCCCTCTGACTCTACACACTTTGCAGGTTTGGGATCCCTTTGGGTCCTTTGAGAAAGATGGTGAATCTCAGCTTCCTTGCTTTGGGGGCTTGATGTGAACAAGGGTGCTGGGTGTTTGCACACACACACACACACACTCCACCTCCAGCTTGGAGCATGCAGGCCTGACCCGGAGGTCACTCTTCAGTGGCTGCCTCGTAAAGAGGGGAGATATGAGTGATGATTTAATGAGGCTTTCCTCACTGCCTACGTGCGAGAGCAGCAGCTAGAAGAGTTTCCAAAGCTGGAGCGAACAGCTGGTCCAAGTGGAGAAGCTGTTTACCACTTCCCTATTTGAAAGGGCTCTGTCCGTTTCTCTATCTCTCTTTTTTTCTTCCAGGGCAGCCTCCGCCAAAGCAGTAAGAATAGGGATTACAAAAGAACGCCAAAGTTTGGCCGTTGCAGATGCATCGTAAAGTCTTAATAAAGGTGGTGGCATCAGATTGTATGTTTTACAGTCAAGAGTGGTTTCGTGGAGTACTTAAAGCTGGCTTGCACAGATTTTTTGCGGGGGGGTGCAGGAGAACACATTCAGTCTTCAGGAGAGTAAGGAGGGACTAGGACAAAGCTAATTAAAAATAAAACAACAGCCACGACATTCAAGCAGTGAAATGCAGCTACAGTGATAATTCTGTATGCATTTACTTTTTCTCTCTCTCTCCTGCTGCGTTAACATTTACAATCTGGAGGCAGCTTTTGAAGGGTTTATGGGGTACATGCAACCTTGCAACGTCAGGTTATTTGCTCCTTGCTTGCCAACTGAGCTCTGGTCAATTGGGGGGGTTTTCTGTAGCCTCCCTCTGCCTTCTGGGGTGTGGAGTTTCCCAGTGGGAAGGGTTTCAGAACATGGTGCTTGGCGGTGAGTGGGTTGGAGCCGAGTTAAACCCATCCGCTGAACGGCCCTGACCGTGTCTGCTTAGCACTGGTGTTCAGAACTGAAATTCAGACCTCGATTCTAGGCTTCAGGCTTAGTGCTGGCTTGTCTTCAGCCTTCGCCAGCAGCAGCAGCAGCAGCCTGTCTCAGGTTGCTCTGCCCAACCACCTTCCGGCGGGGGGTTCAGCATTTGAGGCTCAAGGTGGAAATGGCCGTGGCACCTGGCCGGCCCCACTTCAGCGTCAGGCGAGGCAGATGGAGACTTCCCTGCTTTTCGCTCTGCCCCCCACCCACCCAACCAAAGGAAATTCCTTCCAAATCCGGTTGTGCCTGGTTTGGCTGCTACCACCACACTCCGCTGCGGTTGTAAAGTTTGTGTAATCTCCCCAGGGATTATGCTGTGTATCTGATTAACTAGCTGCATCTCTGCCCTGAAATTTCTCGGGTGAAAGGTGAAAGACACAGTCTCATTCTTGTACAGGGGAGGGTCGCTTTCTCCCAGCTGGCGCCCGACAAGCCGGGCTACAGTTTTCTAGCCAGCGCTGGCTTTTTCGAATGTGTGCGTCGGAGCAATTTCATCTCCCAAAACGAGCATTTTGGAGGAAAGATGAGTGAGATCCAGGGGTCTTGTGAGATATGATGTCGCCTTGTGATATAGCCCCTAACCCGGTGCTTCTCAACCTTGGGAACTTTTAGATGTGTGGACTTCAACTCCCAGAATTCCCCATGGTGGCTGGGGAATTCTGGGAGTAGAAGTCCACACATCTAAAAGTTCCCAAGGTTGAGAAAAACCCTGCCCTAGCCTCCTTCACAAGGGTTGGTCGTGGGCAGGAGGGAAGAATGTCTTCAGTGCTTGTGATACCTCCTCATGGCTCCTGGGGGTAGCACTCTGAAGAGTTGGCCAATTCCAGATTTCTTCCTGATTGAGCTGCTTCTGGACTGGGGGCCTTGATTGGTTTCATGCCCTCCCCGCAAATACAGCTGGCGGGATTTTCCTGGCATTGGTGCCCCAGCATCTCAGCTAGCATGGAGGGCAGATTGGGCTTCTTAGACACCAAGCTCTCAAGAAAAATCCCTGAAGGTTTGTCCCCCCCCCCCAGTTTTCTGCTTCTTGCTTGGGCCACATCTTGCTAGAGTCCCTGTCCTGTGGGGTTCCAAAGCCACCTTTGGTTCCACTTAGCCCCGGTCAAGCATCTGCTCCCATCCTGAAGTGGTGGCCAGCTTTGGAAGCAGCTTCAAGGTGGAAGCAGAAGAGAACTGGCTGCTGGCGCAGGGAGGAGACAGCCGTGTGGCAGGGGAGCCATTGCGCGTGGTCTCCTGTGATGAGCTGGGCAGAAGCCACCACCTTTTGATGCCAATGTTTAAAAAAAAAAAGGTCCCAATTTATAGTAGTAAGGATGTTTCTTCTCTCTTCCAGGGTTCCCCCAAGAACCTTCGGCCGAGCATGATCCACCCTTCGGTAGGTGTGAAGACGCTTTCTTCCCAGCCTGCCCCCCTCCCCTGTTTGGAAGCATGAATTTTAACAAAATGAACCCACCTCCTTTTTTCCCCCCCGGCTGGGCTGCTCATTCCTCTTTGCCCCCTAAAGGAGGAACGCCATTCTTCTAAATGGTGGTCCGTGCCCACCCTGCAACCCGATGCCCTGCTGGTCCTGGGAGATGGCATCTCCCAGATTCTGCCCGCTAAGGATGCTGGGAGTTGTAGTCTTTCGACCTCTGCAGGGAAAGCCGTTTTCATGCAGGCGATTCGTCTGCTTTGCTGATGGCGTCAGGGCCCCCGTGGCTTCTGAAGAGGCTGCCCTTTGCCTGGAGGGAATTTCCAAAGTGCCCCTCCCTGAAACGCCAGTGCAGGCGGTCTCTTGGGTGCCACAGGGGCGGTGCACCCTGTCCTCCTCCATAAGGTGACCAGACCATGGTGCCTTCAAAGTCAACTCCTCTCTCGCAGGTTCAGGCTAAGTTCATTTCTGTGGGGAAGGACCCTCTTTCTCCCCACAACCCCATTTTGATTAGCATCAACGGAGACAAGGCCAGCCATGGGTCAGGAGAAGGTCAGACGGGGGCAGACTTCCCCCCCGCGCTGTGTCCCCCTAGCCCCAACCCTGCAGTGGTGGCCAAACTTTTCTCCTCTGGTCGTGTTGACTGCACAGCTGTAAAATTCAAAGAACCAAGCCAGGCTGGTCCAAGGGGAGTGGGAGCCGCGGCCCTTGAGAAGAATGGCGTGCATTGTCCCTTAAAACAGGAGAAATAATTGATTTATGTTATGGCACCCAATTAGGCTATAAAAGAGGAAACCCGTTAAAGCTACCCCACGGCTTGATTGCAGCCCCGAAGAGCCACCCCAATAAAGGTCATCAGCTCAGCGGGCTAAATTATTAATTCCTTTCAGGCCTTGCGAAGCGGACAATGCGGGCCAACAATTGCCACCGTTGACTTCGTGGCTGGAGGAGAGGGCAAAGGGCAAGAAGCTGGGCCAGCAACAGCTGGTCCTCAGATCAAGCAGACTTTGATTTTGTTGTCCTTTCCTCCCCCCCTTTCACGGCAGGCCATCCCCCCTCCCCACCCCTCATCCCCCATTTTTGTAGGCCCTTGCTTGGTCTGCTGAAGGGCTCTGGGGCAAAAGGGGACCTCCATAAAGGTGGCATGGCAGTTGCTAAATTCTCGAAATCTGCAGGTATGCACGACTCTTCCCGTGAATAGTTCTTTGATGGGGTTGGGGACCTTTCGCACCATCTGGCAGATCTCCACCCCCCGACCCCCCCAGCAGCTGAGCCGCTTCCTTTCAAACCGGGGCAGAGAAACTCTCGGAGGGCCATCTGTTGATCCGCACCAGCCGGGCTTCTGTCAACGTCGTCTTGGACGATCCGCGCTTCCGAGAAGCTGTTGTGCAAAATGCCAGTGGTCATTTTGTAACTGCAGTTTGTAATTTGTGACCCAGAATTGTAATTTTCTTTTTGGGCTTCACAGATGGCGGCAGGTATTGCTTGCCGAGCTGGCAGTCCTTCTGTCGTGATTTGGGCTTGGTGTCTGGGGCCGTCTTCAACGAAGCACGGACCATGTGTTAAGAATTTGAGCAGGCCGAGGCTCAAAGTCCAACATAGCCCCTCAGAATGCAGGACTGATTTTTCCTTAGCTTGTTTTGGATCTCTCTGGCCAGGGGTTTTCTTCTAAATTGGAATTTGGGCAAGGCAGATTAATGGAAAAGGTGGCTACAGACCTTTTCGTACATGGCTGCAGAGACCCCATGTATGTTTTCAAGCTCCCCGGCTCCATGATGTCCTGTTCTCTGGGGCTAACCCTGGCAGCTTGGCATTCCCTTGCAACGGAGCTGATGCTCTTTGCCTGAATCTTTTCCCGTTGTTTGGGACGTGCATTTCCTCCTGATAAAGTTCTTGGGCAGGCATCTGTCCTCCTCGGTCTGCTCTTATGGCCTTTTTGCTCGGGTGTGACCGGCAAGGGCCGGGGCTGAAAGTTGCGCGCGGGGTGCAAGGCGCAGCTGCAGGCCTAGCCGAACCCAAGGCTGGAAGACGAGTCCTGGGGGTGGGGCATCAAAAGGAATGAGGAAGTGGGATAAAACGCCTTTTTAGCAAGATAGAACTTCGGTTAAAGCCGTCGGAAAAGACCGCAGATAAAAACACATTTGTGCCAAGGAGCGTTTGGCGGCTTGTGCTGTTCTAGAGACGGATAATGTTCTTTTTCCACACTAGAACACTTTCTAGTTTGTCTTTATGTTTTGATGGAGCACACTCAGTTGTAATTTTGTCAGTAACCCCATGTTAGATGAGTCATGCTTGCGTGCACCCAACGTGTCCAGAAAGTTTCTTGTAGACATTTCCCATTCCAACATCTGCTGCAAACAGGGGTTTTGGCTCCAGCCTCACTGGCTTTGCCACATCTGGAGGGCATTGGAGGGGGAGAAGCCTCTGCAAAACTGCATTTCTCATTTGGGTGAACGGGAGAAGCAGGTTGGAGCAGTTAGACTTCTGTTCACGTCAGGGCTTGTTAAGCTAGGATTCCTGGCTTAAGACACTGCCGCTGGGAGAACAAGTGTATATAAATGATGTAGCTCTCTCTCCCAGTTGAACAAAATAGCTAATTTTTTTCAAGCACATCTTAGACTCTCTTTTCTTTCTCTTCCCAGCTGCAGATGTTGAACAGATGAACGCCCCTTCTTCTGTGCTTCTCTTGAATGCTGGCAGTAAGTACTACTTTTTCTCTCTAATCAGGGAGATCCTACCCCTTCTCCCTGTACACATCTGTGTTGAGCTATGGCGGCGAGGCATGTCATCCCCACTGGAACCTTGAATGAAGATCCTGTGAATAGATTTGGGTCAAATCTGTTCCTAAAACCCTGTCCTTGGTGTCACCCGGACTCTCTGTCCAGAGATGGTGACACCTCCTTTGCTTGACCATGGCTCAATCATGGTTCCCCACTAGAGGGCAGTGTCCAGAGTCTGCAGATTTTGGTAGTTCTTCCCTAGAGTCAAACAAGGTTCAGGATTTGTTTCAAGACATCTTGTTAATGACAGAGAATGACCTCATATTAGGCGCCCCCAAATCCCCTAAACTTCTCTAAAGAGTTCTAAAAATGCCTGGCAAGCCACCAGCTCCCTTCCAGACGTTAGCAAGAGTGGGTAGAGAGCCTCATGGAGGCTTGTACGGTCCTGAAGATGCTGGTCAAGAGTGAAATAGGATGAAAGAAGAAAAGCATCTTGCAGAAAGGGAATCCTGCCCAATGCAAGATGGCCAAGCCACAGGGTGTGTAGGCTGGTTGGGCTGAGCCAAGTTCCACACTTATGAAGAACTGGGGTTGAGGCATTTGGGTAGCAGCTTTTGGACAGCTTCTGTAGTGTGTTAGTTTTAGAGAACTGGCTGCCCTCAAAGCTTTTCCTCCAGTGGTGATGATGATATAATATGACCATCTCTACTCCAGCCAGTGATTTGTAGCCCTTGTTCAATGTCGGGGTGCTCTGCTGTCACTTCTTCCCTTTCTCACCAAGCCCCAAACCCACCTGATCTGGACTAATGCATGCATTGAGTTAAAGATCACTTTTACCTGTTCCTCAAAGGAAGTTGTGCAGGTGGAAAATGTGACCAAGTCTGAGCTCCCAGTTGCTTTCGTCCTTCAGCTGTAAGACCAGCTGTGATCGCAACACCCCATAGGCCCTTTTTTTGTGCAAAGGGAGCTGAAGTTATGAAAAGGCCTGGTGGTCCTGAGATGGTTAGTTATTTGCAGAAAAGATTCGTCGTCTTCTGCTCCGTCCCAGCCAGTTTTCACAGGCCACCAAAATGTCTGTAGCTCCCTGAACTGTAATTAGGCAACTGGCTTTAGCTCATTAGAGCTCTCATTTGCACGTATGGTCTCTTCTCCATTTCTGTGGACTGGCCTGCAGGATTGCAAGTTTTCAAGCAAATGTCCTTGGAGGCACATTCCTGCATAACTGGGCCATGAACAAAACTGTTCTTCATACGGAATCTGGGACCTTCTGTTCTCAGGCCTCTGAGAAGTCAACCAAACTCCATTGCATGTACAGAAATGGGGGGCTATTGTAAAATCTCATCCAAGCTGGCATTTCTATAGCAAAGTGTTTCCCCTTTCCTTCTCCATCTTCTGCTGTAAATTAATGGTTTTGACCTCATGAAGGGCATCTACCTCCTGAGTATTTCCCCACCCCAACTGTCTTTTGGTTGCCCAGAAACGCTTCCGATGAAACAAGAGCTACGTTGTGTTAGAAAAGCTGTAGAAGCAGAACACTGTGTGTGTGTGTGTGTCTGGGTGTGTGCATTTGCCTAAGCAGGGGATGCTTGGAGCCTTGAAGGAGGAAATCTAGGATCTGGGTAGGGTGTCCAGCCTCTATCTTGCTGCTGTTTGATCCGCAGTTTGCATTCATTGGCCAGAGGGCTGACTGAACCCGAAACCCACCGACAGCAATGAATGTTGAGTGCAGCCATTATTTGAGGAGAACTGCTCTTGATAGCACTCTGGCATTGGGTTCACCCCTTGTGATTTGTATGTCTGGAGGCATTTTCGGAGGACTGTGATAAACCTCAAGGTACAGTCAACGGTCGATGGTTTATCCTGACATGTCAAACTCACCGACAGCGTTGAATGTTCGCTGAAGCTATCGTAAGCTGCGCAGGCTGTGTCCTGATGGCATGGGATCTGTGTCTGTGTGCACCCTTGCTGGCTTGCGATAGGATGCTGGCTTATATGGAACCATAGAATCAGTAATCGCAAGCATTGGGGCATATATAAGATACTTTGAACCCTCCTTGGTTTGCAACTATGCCGTGTTCTAATCAAGCAAGTTTGTATAGCTCATAGCCTTGTAATTCCATCTTTCGAGAAAGGTAGTTGGTACTGTAGCTTTCGATTACTCGTTGGCCCTCTCAACACTTGATGATGGAACGGTCTCCTTGGTACCAGGGAAGCACTGCCAGAGGGACTGTGTTGAAGTTCTTCATTCCCGTGTCTGTTGGGGAAGATGCTTGAAGGTAGCCCTCCTTCTGCCCAACATTGACCTGTTGGACAGTTCTCCTCTTCTGACTGACCATTCTAGGAAGACAATAGATAAAATGGAGCTGATTAGAGGCAACATGTTGCATCTGTAAGCAGCACTGAATTCCCATTTGTTAGAACCTGAACCAGTAAGTCTTGAAGCCCCATGTTGTTATAACTGAATATGGTCAGGTGCGCAGCAATTCTCACATGGAAAGGTTTATCACCAGATAAACTTGGGACATAACACCTGTAGATCTGAAGGACTGATGTCTCTCCTCATCTCACTATTTTTTCCTTCTTTCTGGAAGTCTATCCCGTTTCTTCTCCCAGCTTTCCACCTTCCTAATTTCACACCCTCCTCGGTGGCAAGACCTGGCTTTCTCTTTGCTCTGCAGTCACTTGAATTCACTGAACAGAGATGTTTAGAGTGAACTGGAAAGCCATCGTAATGGCTCCATCAGGAGATTGCAAGGAAGGGCAACCTCCTCGCGGCTCTGATCATGCCAAAAGCTTTGGACAAGGGGGAGCCCGTGTGCCAGGGATCTATTGGGAAGAGGGATCTGAGGCAAGGCGGGGCTGAGATACCTGGTTGGCCACCCTGAATGTGCTTCACTGTCTCCAGAAAGGTCTCAATCATTCATTCTCGCTACAGAAAATTCCACAGGAAAGGGCTATCCGTAAAGGTTCAGGGGTAGAAGGGCTGGGTCCCCTCTTTTCTGGCTGTTGACCCCTGGCATGTGAAACAGGAAAGCCCCATCCTTGTGGGCCGGTGTGTTAGCAAGCATCAAGAAAAGGTCCTGGTTCAGACTGTAGAACTGGAGCCTGTTTGCTTCCATCCCTTGTCTCCCAACAACGCACAATATGTTTTGGAATAACAGCTGGGGTGGACAGTACTTGCAATCCTGGAGGGTTTTCCGGGGGAAGCTAAGTTTACCCTTCCATGTCCTTTGAAACCCTGATGCAAACAACTCCAGTCAAGCCAAGAGGAACTCATTCTTCTTCCTGATGTGCGGTGCGTTTCCCACCCTCCACCCTCTTGGCATCATTTTCCTTGCTCAGCATGGCTCTTGGCTCCCCAGAAAAACCTCGGCTCCGATTTCAGCCATGAAAAAGTTGACTTGCTCCTTTAGTTTAAGGTAAAAAAAGGGGGTTAATGCATTTCCTAGCAACATGAGCCAGGGTTAAGATGGCAGCGAACAGTTGTCCCCAAGCAGCTCTTTCCATGCCAGCTGAGTTGTGCTGGTTTCTTCTTTCTTGCCTCCTCTGGTTGAGAAGAGGTAGGTTGGCACCTTGGAACCAGCTGGGACTCAAGAGCAGTGAGCAGGAGACCCCTTCTGCAAACAGCAGTGACTGAGTCCAGGAGCCAGGTGGCATGGAAAAGCTGCCCAGAGTCACCCATTGGGAGAGATGGGTGGCATACAAATTTAATAATAACTTAAATAAATAAAAGCAAGGAGAAAAAACACGCGCGCGTGCGCACACACACACTGGTCGATCCCTGTTCGCACTAGCTTCGTGCCGAATTCCTACAGAAGGGACAGCACACTGTTTAGTCTGCTGGCTTTGGGGGTGCCAGCGTCTGCCGCGTTCTTTGCCAACACTCTCAGTTTGGGTGTTTTAAGAACTTCTCCCTTAAATGCCAGATTCCAACGGCCTGTCTTTATCAGATTGGCCCGGGAGAAGGACAAAGGAGAACTTTATTTTAGGAACTGGATCCATGGAAATGGGAACCAGACTGCCTGGCTTACCGCCAGTCATTATAGGGATGTTGTGGGTGTGCATGGGCGTGCGACTTAACCAGATAGGAGAGCACATACCTCGGTGTGAGCTGGGAAGGAGGTAAGAGCGGTGGCCTTCAAATCAAGCTTGACATCTGCTGATTTCACAGAGGTGTTTCCTTGGTAGCAAGTTGGAAGCGCTTGCCAGTCCTTCTTCCAGGATGGCTTCAGTCTTCCCGGCCTAGCCCACCATCCTCACATGCCCAGGTGGGTCTCCCAGCCATATATCAATCCAGTTTGGCCTGGACCCGATCTCGCTCAGCTTCTGAGCCCAAGCACTATTTCTGATTCTGAATGGGAGGTGGGTTTTTCAGACACCTGGCCCCATAAGCCTTCTGCTGCAAGCGCCCTAGACCTGCATTAGCCAAGGGGAACTCATCTCTCTCCATGTCACTCACAAATCCCACAGTCCTCAGCCAGCCTGCAACCCCACAGGTCCAGAAGGCACAGCCCCTGAAGAAGGCTGTCTGGTTTGGAGAGTGCCAACTAACAGTCGGTTCAGAAGGTTGTGCCTGTTCCGTGTGGACACCACGCAATCAAAGGTTTTGGCACTTCCAAAGCAACGATGCACTAACGGTAGTAAAAATGTTTGTTCAGCGTATACGGTAGTCCGGAGGTCTCCAAGGAGCAGAAGGAAGATTGCATGGAAGTGAAGATGTCTTTTTAGGCATTCCTTCTTTGAAAACAACTTCAGGATATGGGTTTCCCCCTTCCTTCAGTTAGGGGAGAGGAACCGCTACGAGATTTTGCTAGGACCAGAGTAACCAGATATTAAATGTATTTATTGTATTATTCTGATGTAGCTTTCTGCAAAACAAATCCAAGACAAAACAAACAAGCCCAGCTGAAAGTACCTCCTTCATTCCATTTTCCTGGAGTGGGGCTTTCCATTTTATTATTGATTTCTCAGTTTTCAGG